ATTTATTAATAGCTTGATTTCCATCCTACCTAGCCTTTTTCGTTCTTTCAAAAAGCCAAAAAAACAAAAACAAAAACACAGAGAGAGAGAGAGAGTGAAAAAATGGCAAATTCAAATTATCACATTCAAGGAGTAATTCAAGGTGCCCACATGAAGTACATGTTGTCCCAAAGCAATTTTTCTACTTCCATGTTCATCAACCACACTCAAATCCTTGCAAACATCTACATTGAACCTCACCAATCCTTCTGTTTGTGGTGACAAAAAGACCTTCTCAAAACCCATTAAGTGCTTCTGAGGTGAATTGTGCACTTTAGGGGGACTCAAAAACAAGAAAACTGTCTGGCCTCCGCTCATTTTTCCGGTGTTTCTAACCCTCAAGTGGATGTTAAAGTTCAAATTCCGACAACTCTGCTCATCAACAACATCAATAGACTTGCAATTAGAAGAGTGACAAGCATGATTGTTTGCTAAGGGGATTGAGACTAGCTTAGTTGCTTGAATTAGGTGGTGGTTGAACGCAGTGTAGCTTAGTCCATGCCCAAATGTATAAATGGTTGGACCAGTGTAAAACCGGTAGGTTCTACCTGGGTAGCCCGTGAAAGGGTCCGGTCTCATGTTCATGTTTGTCATTGGAATGTTCTTGGTATATGACTGTGGATACCATGACATGGGCAGCCTCCCACCTGCAATAAAAACACAACCATGAATTCAATTTTAACAGACATGGGGGAAAATGCAAGTTGAGAAATTTATCATTGTATACTAATTTGACCCAATTCAAGAATTTATTTGGAATTTGTTCAAAATCAATGTGTTAAAAGTGCAAAATAATACACTTACTTGGATTGTAATACCCGAAAATCACATCCGCGATGGCTGCGCCACCAGCTTCACCAGGGTACCCGACCCATAGGATGCTCGTTATCTTATCAATATCTTTCGCAAATTGCACGTCCATGCCCCCTCCAGACATTATGACAAGAATTACAGGCCCCTTGGATGTACTTGCAATTTCAGTCACTAGAAGTTGTTGCTGTCCTGGAAGAGTCAGATCAACTCTGTCGTGACCCTCTGTTTCTATAGATTGATCCGCGCCCATTACTAAAATAGTTGCATCTGATGAAGCTGCTATTTTCTTAGCATCATCTAATTGGGTAGCACTACATGCCACATCAGCCTCGGCACATCCAGGTACGTTGGCGGTGGCAACTGATGCTGTGAGGCCTTGCAGTGGAGTTGTGTACTTGCAGGGTGTGCCTGCAGCATTACCCAAATTGATTAGGAAGTAGTGCTTTTGTTGTTTCTAAAAATTAAAAATAAATTCAAATTTTGTTTTAAAACTGAGTCATTGAGAATTGGGCTGTAAACTGATCGGATTTAATTCAAATTTGATCTGAAAATTTTGAATCCGTTAACGAATACACAATCTGATAATTCAAATTATTGTCGATCCGATCTGATCCCATAATCAATCTACTCTTATCTCATGCTTCAATTTTTATCTGTATATATAGGGTTATTACACTTCAAAAATAATGAAAACTCTGATCAAATAATCAATATGAAATTCAAATTAAAAAAAATATATACATATATATATATATATATGAGATTTTCAAAATGACTAAGGCCTGTATAGTAATGTTTATTTCTGTTTATATTTATAGAATTTTAAAAAATTGTAAACAAAAACTCATTTGGTTTTTGTTTTGTTTTCAAAAAATTGTAAATAGTTTACAAAAATTGTTAAAGTTTGTAAACACAAAACAGCGAGTTTCATATTTTGTTTAATTTTTTTCATTTTTTCTTCTTTCTCTCTCTTTTTCTGATTTTCATCCATTTCTTTCTCATAAAGCTTCAATGCGGCTTCTTGCTCCGTATGTACAATACTTGTCCTTTTCTTAATTTTATTTATTGAATATATTTATATATATAATATTTATTAAATATTGTATAATATACTATATTATCATATTACATCTTTTAATTCTCATTAATTATAAATTATTATCTATAATATACTATATTATCTTTAATTTTTATTTATTTTTTACTTTTAAAGCTACAAAACTAACCTATTTCCGCTCTCGATATGACATAGGATGGGGGTGGAGGATGACAAATCCACTCCAAACTCGCCTTGTTGCCATTCATTCTCATCACTATTAGGTACCATCACCAACAATGACCTCATTCGTCAACCATTTTCGCCCACCATCTCCAACTATCGACAATCACCTCCCGTAACCCCTATTTTCATTTGTTTTCAAAACAAAATTTTAAAATATCAAATCTATTTTGTATCAAATACCCTTGTCCGACTCTACATTCCAACCATGACATTCTCAAAGCTTTGGCCAAAATTAAGACGCAGGTGTGATATATGTGTGTGGGTAAGGGACCTTAAGTTATAAAAAAAAAAAAAAAATAATTGTGAACTTCTCTTATTATTCAAAATTAGAGAGGGCTGTTAGACTAATATTCCTTTTTGTTTTTATTTTTGGACTTTTTTTTATAAACTTTTAACTTTTTAATTTTTTTTTTGATTAAAATAGGCAATTGTCAAACTATACCTAAAACTTCTTGTTGAGTTCGTGTATTTGTGTCTATTTATTGTAGTTATTTAATCCCTACTATTAATTGGGTACATAATCAATGTGAAATTCAAAATTTTAAAATAATAATAATAACATGAACTTTTCAAAATGACTAAGGGCCTGTTTGGTAACGTTTATTTCTATTTATATTTATAGAATTTTTAAAAATTGTAAACAAAAACTGGTTTGGTTTTTGTTTTGTTTTTGTAAGGGGGTTCGAGATTAAAAAGGTGATTAGAGAGGCAAAACTATGCTAATGGTCCAACCATGGTGGAATGGTTGGAGAATGAGCAGCTACAACTATTTGGGAAGTTGGAGAGTGAGTAGCTGGGTGAGGGTGAAGCAAGTAGCTCAAGAAGAAGACAAAGGCAGTGCACAAGTGGGCAACATCTCCCTCCTAAATCCCTAAAATTCCTTATTTCTTGGGCTGGGAAATGGGTCCTATTTATAGGCTTTTCCTTGGTACCAAGAGGTCACCAAATGGCCAAATATAGAGAAGTCATGTGTTCCAGAGGATCACATAGAATATTCTGCCTTGAGCTACTAGGTTGAAGGTGCCACGTATCCTTCAGCATGTACTGTGTACTATCTGTTTGCCTCTGTAACTACCTTTTTGAGCCTCAACAAGTATAGTTGCGATGGGAGTGTTTGGCGCTGCAACTCCCTTTTGAGCCTCAGCAAGTGCACTTGTGGCGGTAGTGTTTGCTGTTGCATTTGCTTTCTCAGCTTGAACCTCATCAAGTGCACTCACAGCAATAAACCTTGTTGCTGTACTTGCCTTCTCAGTTCGAACCTCAGCAAGTGCACTTGCAGCGGTAAGCCTTGCTACTGCACTTGCCTTCTTAGTTCCATTTAGCCAATACATGTATTCTCAGGACTTCATAGCCTGCTATCAGCCATGTTTTCGTTCACCTCAGCTAAGCCTCCACCCTTAGCCACCTAACCACAAACTCCCTAGCTTCCCAAGGTGAAGACCACAACCAAGCCTGCTATCAGCCATGCTGTGCCTTAGTACCAAGCCCAAGGGGGCTTCCCTAGTCTTACCTGTGCGACTAAGGCAGGTTCATGACCTGGGTAATGGAAAGGGAGTCCCTTACACTCGAGCTACCCTACTTCCATCTTCGCGGGGTCATCGCGATATACTGGTATCTATGGACCTGCTATCAGCTCTAACCAGTAAGCCTTGGAGCCTGCTATCAGCGCCAGCCCAGTGAGCTTCGGAGCCTGCTATTAGCGCTGAGCTAAAAATGACTTTGGGGGCCTGTTATCAGCCATAGACTAGTAATGCCTTGGGGCCTGCCATCAGCGCCAAGTACTAGCCTCTACTTGTGGAGGGGAAGCTTCTCCTAAAGGCTACTATCACCTTGGTGAGGTGTTCCCTCCGCAAGTTAGTTGCTGCGGCTGTAGTTGCTGCAATAGTCATTTCTCGCGGCAAGTTCAAATGGCAAAACCGACAATACTTGGAATGACGGTGTTGAGACAAAGTGCCTCCACAACTTGGCAGTTGCACATGTTGCTTCTGCAACTTAGTTGCGTCGGCTTTTTCTTTTCCTCAGCAACTGCAGATGGCAGCGGAACCGACAATAATTGGAATGACGGCGCTGAGACAAAGTGCCTCCGCAACTTGGCCGTCGCAAGTGTTGCCTTTGCAACTTAGTTGCGTTAGCTTTCTCCTTCCCTCAACAACTTTAGATGGTGGCGGAACCGACAAAATTGTGAATGGCACCGCTGAGGCAAAGTGCCTCTGCAACTTGGCCGTCACAAGTGTTGCCTCCGCAACTTGACCGCTACAAGTGTTACCTCTGCAACTTCACTTAGGCATTTTCCTTCGTAGAATCTATTTGGACCCTTGGCTGGTCGGACATACTTTGGCCCACTGTTGGCCCACTTCCTTTGGGTTTTAGCCCATGCTCCTTTAATTATTCATAGTCACCTAACAGAGGCGACCTCCGCACTTAGGTCCATACTTAATTTGGATTATAATTTCTGACCCTCTACAGTTTTCAAAAAATTATAAACAGTTTACAAAATTTATTAAAGTTTGTAAACACAAAAAAGTGGGTTTCATTTTTTGTTTAATGTTTTTTCATTTTTTCTTCTTTCTCTCTCTTTTTCCGATTATCATCCATTGCTCTCTCACCCCAATCTACCCGTCCCTACCTTAATCTTATTTATTAAATATATTTATATATATAATATTTATATAATTTAATGTTTTTAATATAATAAAACTAAAATATTGTACTTTTTATTCATCATATTACATCTTTTAATTCTCATTAATTATAAATTATTATCTATAATATATTATATTATTTTTAATTTTTATTAATTTTTTATTTTTAAAGCTACAAAACTAACCTATTTCCGCCCTCGATATGATATAGGATAGGAGTGGAAGACGACAAATCCATTCCAAACTCGCCTCGTTGCCATTCATTCTCATCACTATCAGGTACCATCTCCAACAATGATCTCATCCATCAACCACCTTCGCCTACCATCTACAACCGTTGATAATTACCTTCCATAACCCTCATTTTCTCTTGTTTTCAAAACAAAATTTTAAAATACTTATATGCGTACCAAACATGTTTTTGTTTTCATTTTTCCTGAAAATAAACATAAACATAAAAATGTTTAATGTTTTTTATAAACAAAAAATAAAAAATTGTAAACTTTACCAAACAGCACCTAAATAATTTCTCATTTAAAGGGAGATTGCTATTTCTAGAGCCTCTAAACATACTCAAAAAAATTGTTGAATACCAATATTTGGTGATTTCTTTTTCTTTTTTTTTTAATTAATACTATTATACCTCCAACGAAGGATAAAAATTTTAAAAATTATTTTTCTATACTTTCTTTGCACTAACTCTCAATAAACATCTTCTTCCATTTGAGTCACCGTCACCACTACCTCTATGATAGCCACTCTAGCCCTTTTCCACTTCCGGTTATGTGACAACCTTCATCTCTGATTAGTGTTAAACTGTGATTAAGCATGATAATTAATTGATTAAGATGAAATTCTGAACTGATTGCATGAGTGTGTTGCTTTAAATGCATTTCTATCTGTTTGATTACTGAATGATCTGTTCGTGTTTTTAATTCGAATTGCAAATTGAAAACCTTATCGGTGGCCGATTCAGAAGTTGATCAGTATTTTACGCTAATTAGGATTCATAGAATTTTATGGTAGGTTTAATTAAAATTTGATTTAGAATGATTAAATTAGATTAATAATGTTAAATTACATTAGTTGAGTTTATTACATAATTGCCACTTAGTGGATTAATTCTAGACCCACTTCTTCTCACACTCTACACTTGGTTGACGCACCATTCCTCATTCCATCTTCTTGGCCAAACCATGAGCAAGAGAGGGAGAGTAGGAGAGCTTTGATTCAACAAGGATTAGCTTGGAGAATTAGCGGAATTGAAAGAGAATTTGCAAAATTGAGCTAGCACACTTGGAATTCAAGACCTAAGGTAGGAGAGTCATCCTCTTGTTTATGAATTTGAGTTGTTTCATGCATGGTTCATGGTAAATTAGTGATTGAGAGTCAAGTTATAGCCTAAAGAATTGAATTGAGTGGCAATGTGTGCATGTATGTCCATATCATTGAGTTTTGAGATCATTTACATGAGGATTTCCACATGCATGTCCATATTTTGGTTGTAGTCCATGAATTCACCTTGTCTCACTATCAAATTGCCAATTTAATCTTGGTTTGAAGTGTTGGAATTCAAGGGAGATCATGCATGTTGCGTTTAAGTTTTATTCTTGAAGTTTCTTTGAATTGGTGTTCAATTGGCTCACCTTTGGGCTTGATTTTATAAAATGATCTTTGAAACATGTTGTGTTATGAGTTTTTAAGTGTTTTCCAGAAAACTAGCCCAAAAGAATCGAGTTTGAAGCTTTAAAGGTTGAGTCTTGCGCTTGAGGATCAATCTGGAAATTCTAGATTTTCGATCCACGCTCGAGCGGAGGACTTCACGCTCGAGCGTACACTCTGAGTACATGGACTTCCGCTCGAGCGTAGAAAGTCACGCTCGAGCGTGAAATTCATATGCCCAGAAGTTCATGTGTTTTGCAGTCTGCTCGAGCGAGAGAATTCACGCTCGAGCGAGGACTTGAGTCTCACGTTCGAGCGGAGGTCGAACATCCGTCGAGCGTGAATATCATGCAACCAGTACTTTTCATGAGTTTGCAGCACACTCGAGCAAAGGAAGTTACGCTCGAGCGGAGTTTCATTGTCTGCATGTCCGCTCGAGCGTAGAAAGCCACGCTCAAGCGTGGACCCCTGTTTCAGCAAATTTTGAAAAGTGTTTTAAAGTACATTTTTGCATCCTCATTTTATCCTAGGCATTCCTAGGCCAAGTTTAAGGCATCTTAATGAGGATATTGATGTATAACCACACCAAGTCAAGTTAGGGGCTAGGTCATTAATCCCAAGAGTGTAATTTAGTATGTGTTCGTTCTACAACTGTGTAGGGTTGGCACCCGAGGACGCTGACTAGCCTGTCTATAGCCCATCAGTTTGTGAGTAACAATGTTGTAAAGATATGTTCGATTATGATTATTTTCTGAACGATTAACTGTACTGTTTTCCAAAATGACAATGTTTACTGAATGAATGTTTGTCCTATTTTATGAACTGTACTCGTGGCATCCATAGCAACTTACTGTTACTGTACTGTTACTGCAACTGTTACAGAGATCTCTGTCAATTCTAATGTTTGGAACCACTACTGTTTACTGTTATGATGGCCATCAACTGACTGTTCGGTCCGTTAAGACCTACTGTACTGTTTTGCTATTGGATGTACCACATATGACTACTATGGTTTCTAAATGACTGCTATGGCATGAAATATGAGCCACTGATTGAATAATTGATCTACAGATGCAATTGACTATTTTACTTACTAAAAGGACATTCATTCTTAACCTCTTTACACAGTTGTTATTCACTGGGCTTTAGCTCACTGTTTATATTTATATGTAGGTGTCCAGGCACCGGACCGGAGCTAAGAGCGTTAGGTTAAGCTCCCGTTTTTTCAAGCCACCTGTTGTGCCTCACTTCGAGGTTCCAAGTCTATCTAAGTTAAGGCTGCTTTTGGGGTGTTCCAGATTCACCCTTTTTGTCTCTGTTATGTATTGACTGAATAAGATTTTTGACTATACAGTTATGGTATAGAGATTCAGTCCCTAACTTACATGTTGTGTATATCTGATATGTATATATATGCTTTTGGTTATGAATGTTCTTTTCTCATTCAGATTTCCACAGCTCATTGGATATCTTTTATTTACTGTTTGGCTTCCGCCAGCCCCTTACTCTGTATTACTGTCATTACTGTTAAGCAGGCATTTGGTAATCACGGATTACTGGTCGGTTACGGTACTAAACCCATAGGGGTGGGTTTAGGTCGTGACAGGTTACCACACTCTAACCATTACCTACCCTCCCAGCCTTTCCTCAACTCCTCCAACCCCTCTTTATTTCTTCCATGATTCTTTTGATATCTCTCTCTATATATATATATATATATATATATATGTTAAGGGTTGGAGATGCTCTTAATTGGAATTATCTTGAAATAGTGAAAGTTTAAATATGTGGTTGATTGAAATGTATATTTTGATTAATTCTCTTCTCATATTTGTAAACAAATTAAAAATTGACATTTATAACTACATCATTATAAGTCGGATTTTGGGAGGATTCTAATGAGAGAGAAAAGAAGGGGGTTAGGGTTGTTGGGCAAAGAAATGGAGGAGTAAGGAGCGTTAGGCACTAAAAAGGAAAGGGTGGGGGCGTTATGTAATGCCCCGAAACAAACACAATATATCCATCTC